TGGCTGGAAAGCTGCCTGTCGGAAAAGGACCTGGGGGTGTTGGTCAACAGCCGGCTGACCATGAGCCGGCAGTGTGCCCAGGCGGCCAAGAAGGCCAATGGCATCCTGGCCTGTATCAGAAATAGTGTGGCCAGCAGGATTAGGGAAGTGATCGTCCCCCTGTACTCGGCACTGGTGGATTAATTCCTTTCCTTCCAAATGCCCCTTAACACGCCATTTCCCTTTTTATTGCTATACCTTTGCTGAAACCTGATGGTTGAGATGGGATTGCTCTGGAGACTGGATAGCACGGTTCTAGCTCACCATGAAATAATCACTCAGAACCTCCCCAGTCATCCTATTAACCTCGACATTTAATTTCCTAACTTTTTCAGTCTCTACCCATTTTAAAATTTCAACATCTTTCAAGGCATCCACTAACTCTTGCCTTCTTCCTTGCATTCCCTCTTTTTCTGTCCTATCCTTTTCAAAATGGGAGCACAGCAGCAGAGTGTAGGTGAAGATATGTCAGCGAGTTACTGAGCAATGTAACACAGTTTTCAGTATTTTATATTTCTTTGTTCACGTACTTTAACATTTTATTTTTCTAAGCAGCTGTTTTCAGCTATTTATAATGATGCCGGTTTATTTATGAGTTAGTCCAAATTTGTCAGACCTCCTAAGAAAATTTCAACCTGTCCCTTCCAGTGTTTATGGCAGACTTTACGTATGAATGTCTCAAGCTGTTCACTCTGTTGTTGTATGAGGATAAATCTCCAAATAGAGTGAAATCAGCTGTGACAGGAAATGAGTTCCCCTCAAAAGTGTTCAATATACGGTGTGTTTCTGGGGAAATCAAATTTCTTCATGAAGACTTTTAATATGACATCACAAAAAATAGATTAAAAAGAGACAAAAGCTGTTTCACATCATCTGTCATTTTCCAAATTTATATTCAGGAAAAATGCTTCTGAGAGCTAACAATTGGGGTAAGTATTAAAATACCTTTTTTACATACTAAATATAATAAGCCAAAGCACAGAGGAAATGGCATAGAAAGGGGTACTGCAATCTCTCATGACAGTCAGCAAACTTTTAAATGCTTGCTTTTGCTTTGTTTTTAAATGTACTTCTGTCATTCCCTTGACAACAAAGGGCACTGCCACATGTGAACTATTTACTTACATAATTTGCTAAAGTTCAGTGGTTAGATTTCAGCGCTGTGCAAGACTAAGTCCCCATAAACAACAATTAAAAATGTTAAAGTTCTCCTAGTACATTTTAGCATCATTAAAGCAATAAATGGTAACCCTCTAAAGATACTACTATTAAAGCAATTTACTTCTCCATTGTTAGGAGCTCAGCAGGAAAATAAATTCTTTTAAAAATAAGTGTTCATAGAAAAGCAGATGTGAAGCTTGCTGGAGCTAAGGAAAATAGTTTGATTGTCTTAAACAGCCTCTGATGAGTCCCAGAAGGAAAATTAGGAAAATAATGGGCAAAATTGGAAAGTAAATCTCTCTTTAATGCCAAAAAAAGAAGAAAGCAAACTTGGGCAAGGGTTTTGTGATACGATCCAAAAGATGAAACCCAAGATTACAAGCACCTTTCTTCTCCTCTTCACTTCTGATTCCACTTTCCAACTCTTTCACCTTTTCATGAATTCTGCTGCACACATCTAGCAGACTATGCTGCTCTAAAGAGTGTCACCTTTCTAGCCAGTTGGTATAGTTTTCAGACCAAATGCATGTTCACCAATATACACATTTTCCAGGTTCAAACAGTCACTTGAAGGCTGTAAAATTCCTACCACCTAAGTGCTTTTGGCAAAAAAACCCATGTGCACAAGAATGCAAATCAACACATGCAACTAGGTTTACATTTTAACACTAGAGCATGTTCAGATGTCACTACTCTGAAATGAACAGATGCAACTGTAAAATTTTACTATTTTATTACATTTACGCAGGCTCAATCGCATTCATTGGCAGTTTTGCTGAGATAAAGACAAGGAAGTACAGTGGAAACAACATTTTGGGATGGAAGAAGTTTATTTAAACAGTACTTTGGGGGCATGTCAACATGGTGTCCAGCAGACGGTTATGTGCCAGCTATGCCAATACTCCAGATGGGCAGCACACACTGATCTGAAAATCATAGGTATGATAGATAGGTATGATCAGAGCATATCCTGCAACTAGGGTAAAAAGTTGCTTAAAAAAGCAAAATCTACAGCATGAACACCACTATGTGCAAATCTAAACAGCTTCCAGCTCACAGCCAGCTCTTTTCACTCCAGCTCAGAGCATGAAAAGAATTAGAGCCCAAATGTCTACATCTACCTGTCATAGACATGCCCTGTATCATAGAATCATAGAATAGTTTGGGTTGGAAGGCCCCTCTAAAGCCCATCTAGTCCACCCCCCCCTGCCGTGGGCAGGGACATCTTCAACTAGATCAGGTTGCTCAGAGCCCCGTCCAACCTGACCTGGAATGTTTCCAGGGATGGGGCATCCACCACCTCTCTGGGCAACCTGGGCCAGTGCTTCACCACCCTCAGCATAAAAAATTTCTTCTTTCCCTGTATGCCTAGATCCTGCGAAAATCAGCATACTTAAATGTTAAGCAAGCTAAGATTTTTTAAGTAATATATTTTATTTGACCAACTGCATATTTGGAAAATGTAGACAAGCTTTTGGGAACACAAACTGTTATTCAGCTCTTTTTTGAATTTTAAGCATATACCTAGAATATGAACATCACCAGGGATACTCAGGTTGGTAAAATTAGTTACATAAAAAGAAGTTCTAATTTTGACCTGAATGGTTATGGTTATGACCTAAATGGTTATCTACATATATAACTATGTGTTAGAACAGTCTTTAGAAAGCATCAAGAAATCTCAGTCAGGTTTGGGCATCTTTTGTGAAAGGAGACAGGAAAAAACAATAAAAGGGTATCTGTTCCACATAGAAAAAAAATTTCAGGCTAGGTTCCTGACCTAGCAAATATTTTCACATACTTCCCATTATTCATAGGCAATTACCACAGGCTGAACTTCTGTATAAGAGTTTGCAAGACCAAAGTATGTAAAAAATGAAAACAGACATGCCATCTTGATTCTTTACTAAATTGCAATAGCTGAAAATTCAAGCCCACAATTTTACCATCACAACAAATTTTCACGGCAGGACTTGTTCCTTTTGTTTATTGCAATTTTTATTTTCTTCTAAAGAAGATGTACTTTCTCCTCTAGCAGGTGATTTGTGATCAAATTAAAGACTCCTCCCATCTCCTGTTACAAAATTTTAATCAACTCATTGAAAGGATACGTCTACACACAGTCATGACTATGATCCAGCTGGGGTCTCAACTGTCATACCAGCTTTGAACTACACCAGCTGCATAACATTTGAAATACAGACATAGCAGCACTCAGTTCCCCAGTTAATTCCCCTACTGTAAAGCTCCAATCTCAGATATATCTGTTTCAGTTGCAGCTCATGCAGATGTCTAAATCACAAAGATCCAGCACATGCGCCCCTGCAAAACCTAATAGAGTCCTGATAGATCTGGGTGCGTATCCTCATGGCATAGCTATAACCAGCAATGAAAGCCATGTCAATGTAACCAGCACTGATTTGTTAGATGACCATGGCCTGTAGAACAGACTATTTTAGAAATGAGCCCAAGCACTTGGAATTAGAGGCATAATATTCGACATCTCACAAGGAAGAGTGGGTCAGTGGAGGCTGTAAAAGCAAGCGTAACACAGACTCAGTTTAGCAGAGGCGATTAGGTTGAAGCTCTTCCAATGCAGAAACTCTTCATCTTTTAACTCTCTAGTAATTAAGTCATTACAACCAGATTAATTTCTCAAAACATTTGGTTTCAGTCCCTCTTTTTACTGCCACTAGTAGCTTTTCACTGACAAAAAATTACCCATAAACCTGGAGGCTGGCAGTGCCTCGGGGGGAAGGCTCCCATAACTCTGACACAGCATAAACCTTACGCACGTGGAAATAAAAATCAACTTCGAAGTTCAACTTCAACAGTGTTAAGAATCTACAAGAAAAGGAGACCAGGATGGTGATACGCTCTTTGTACCCTGTATAGCTGCACTGCATCACGCAGAGGTTGGCCAGGGCCAGTGGCTTTCTTCCAAGGTGTATGGCCACATTCTGCAAAGCTCAGGTTTCTCCATAAGTATGCTCAGATCCCATAGACTTTGTTACATCTTCGAAGTTATTAAGTACACGCTAAACCCTAAGGCCCATAAATGCTTTACAGCACTGGGCCTTTTATAACTTGCATGATTTATGGCTATGATTCGCTATGGGATCAGAGCAGCCACATAAGGGTATAATAAAACAAGATATTTCTTCATGACTTATTTTTAAGTGGAGAAAATTAATAGGAAACATAATTTGTGGTTTTTTCAATTATCATTATTTTTCTAGGTTTTATAATATCTTGTAAATCTTGTAAACAAGATTTTTCTGGGAAAAATTTGATGATGTGATTGAGCTGGTCAAAAGTGACAGCAGAAGTTCTTCTCCCCTTGGTCATACAATAAACAACACTGTAGAACTCAGTGGGGAGAACTCACTCACAGCTTTTGGGAAAATAAACCATTTGAGAAAAGAATCAGGAAAAAAGAAAAAAAGACCATCTAAGTTCTATTTGAGATAGCATTTTTCCACTCAGACAACTGCAATCTTAGGTATTCTGGTATCAGAGGCAAAGTGCTGGAAACAAAAGAATTGTCAGAGGTACGTTGCTAAAGCTGCACAACATGACAGAAAACCGTTGCTGAGATTCGTATCCTTGCGTCTCTTCTACATGCAGGTTTTGACCAACTTTGGTTTTCATGACGATGGAATTTTTCTTCCCCAAAATGGAAAGTAAGAACCTCTTCCTAAGCCTATTGCTCTGCTACAGTTTGCTCAGAGCTGCCAGTTCTCATATGGTAATTGAAGAGAAGACAGAATGCAACCTGTCAAGAAGCAACAAAATGAATCTCCAAGATCTCCCACCCATCTCTATAGTAGGTTAGTAAAATCTGCCATTCGGTGCCAAATTAAGAAGATTTGCAGAAAATATAATTGTCAATTAATATGGATTATTTTGATAGCTTACTGCAACATTGCAATTTCATACAAATGCCTTAGTAGTATGCAGAACTGCAGTGGCAATGCAGCCACAGCATCCAAGAACGGCAATGTGGCAAACCACAGTTTAGAGTAAAAAAAAAAATCAGACAACTTATTTTAGTTTTACAGATTTCACTTCAGGTCCTATCATACTGTAAGTCTTTTTATATTGAAGATAAGTGTTCTTCTGTTAATATGGGCATCAATCTTCTTTTGAAAGTCTAGTGCAAATAGAAAAAGTGAACGTAATTTTTTTTTTCAGGGTCTGCTCTTGTAGCAGAGAAATCAACAGTTCTCTAAGGTATTAATATAACCTCAGTTCACCTGTGTGCCAAGCGATCTTTAACCAGGGGAAGAAAAGAGCACTGCAAGGGAGAGCCAGAGGTCATCTATTTAACCAAGACAGGACTAGTTATGTCCCTACCGTTACTGGCAGGTGACCGTCTGTCATGTTAGGGAAGAACCTTGTTAGGGCAATGCTTAACTCTTTTCTTCACAAAATTTTTTCCTAGTGTCTGCCCTAACTCTTTCAATGTAATTTAAGCCAACTTTTTTCTTTCAAGAAACTTACAGGTATTTGGGGATAATTAGCTGCAGAACGTCATTCATAACTGTATCAAAATTTTAATAATTAAAAAAATAAAGGTTCTCTTGTTTAGCTCCTTTCTACAGGCTTTTAGGACTTTTGCTTAAAGCAGGTTGGTTTCTTACCCCGTTTCCAGTATTTTCTCTGCATTCTTGCTCAGGACAACATTTCTTTAAGGAGAAACAGTTGCCCCACACATGCATTTCCAATGAAATCTGAACCTCTGAATCCTGAGTTAACTCAAGGTTGTTTAACTGCAGGTTTATTAAAGCTTGTGCTGTTCTGCAGCCTCCCAAGCCATATCATTTCATGGTCCTTGTGATCCTAGATGCCACTTCCAATAATTTTTTTATTCCAATTAAAATCAGAGTTATAAAATACATTCCCTTCAGCTGATTTCTCTATCTTCTCACAGAAATGTGCCCATGCCTTAAACGTGGCAAATAGGCTACGTCATGCCATATTGCTTTGCCAACAGACATCGAAGATAGCAAAAATCCCCTAATGCTGTCAGGTCCTTTTGCTTTGGATGGGTCTACAATGCCTCACAAAAACCCTTCCTCCCTGCCTGCCCCATTTGGTTGTCTGCAAGAGACACCTCCTCCCACAGGAGTAGAGCATCCATGTATCCTCACCACTCCGCGGTGAAGCCTGGCTGCGCTGCTTTCCCATTTTATAGTCAACAGAGAGAGATGAAGCAATTAGCCAAGGTAAGAAAAGAAATCCACAGCAGACTAAGGGGCTGAATCTAAGCAAACAACATAACCTCCAGCTCACCTTTACACTCGTTCCTCTCCTACATGCAAACAGAATGAACATTTGACACTGAAAATGCAAGAATAATTCAAAAGAGCAATCTTGGCTTAACACTCACCTCCCGTAGTCCACTTGTCTTGGCTGACTATTCCAAAAAGAAAAACACAGATGCAAAACCCACTGTAACACCGTTGGCCAGGGCTGCACTCACTTTCTTGGGGCACGAGGCATTTCCAGAGGTATCCCAAGGCCTTTCTGCAGCCCACTTGTTCAAACGCAAGAGGCCAGTCTGATCCTCCACTACCCCACACCTAAAGAAAATTGAAAAAATATGACGTGAGTAATAAAACTGAGACAAATCATTCCTGTTTTTCTCATTCAATAGTATCTGACCTAAGTTTTGAAATAGTTTATTTTGGAGCTGAAATGGCACATGCTCAAACCTTTCTGGGTTTTATTTCAGACAACCAGGAGCCACATTACCTCTATCACTTATTAACTAAAATAATTGAATTATAACTTGATAAACTAAATATAAATTAATCTAAGCATGCGTTAATGCGTGGTACATGAAGAGCATTTGAAAGTCCCTAGCCATGACCTTTCAAGTGGGTGGAGAAAGAAGGTGCAGGAGAAGGGACACGCACTGACGTTGTTTTGGGATTCAGGTTACCAGACCAAGGGACCTTCCAGCCCTGCTGATACCTCCTGCTGAGAGCAGGAGGATGACAGGAGGTATCATCATTTTCACTGAAGCGAGCTGGGAATAACGTCACCTGCCTCACTCCAGCATATTGTGAGACATAACTGGAGGCCCATCCTTTTCCCCTGATTTTTGCTGGGCTCTGTGCATTACGCAGCAGCCGGATGAAGAAATGGAGCTGTGCCCTTCACGGTGCCAGGTGCTGAAACGAGTGGGAAAAGTTGCTAGAGGGAGAGAGACTGCCTTGGAGACAGTCCTGCAGAGGATGGAAACAGGTCGAAATGGGAGAAACTAACGCAGACAGGGGAAAGCAGCTGGAAAAAGCAGCCAGACAGAAGCGGGAAGGGCAGGCGCAGAGGTGGCTCCTCCAGCGCTGCCACTGCTCCCTCTGCCTGCAGCCCCAGCAAGGCCCCTGCAACACTCGGGGGAGAGGATGAAGCCACACGTGGTAATATTTATTATAACAACAGTGTCGTGGCAAAAGGCTGACAGGCTGGTCTTTCCCATCACCGCCACAGAAACAATTAATTTAGAGTAAATATTAAGAGAGTGTTTAAATAACCACAGCCTCCTCTCCCCTCCTGATACTGTCAATTTCTTTACGATTTATGAGTTATAATTTGTCATGCTGATATACCTAATCTATTTTTGTACAAGCTAACAGAAAAATTTCTTGTCAGCTTGATTTAAACATTCTGGATAGAGCTTTCTATATCAGTGACATTTTCTTATACCAAATCCTGTTCCTTCTTGTTGGCTACACAGAACAGAGACGAAGGCACTCATGTTACAGCTCAGTTTTTAAATGTTGCTGTAGCCATACTTGAGTAATAAAACTCATTTGCAATCAGCTGTTTACACACCAGTCAATCAATCACAGTGCTCATCGTATCAAAAAATGATATGTCTGGCTCAAATTCAATAAAACCCAAGGCTGGGTTGAATCACATCTTAAAAGGTAAGCGAAGGATTTGCTAGTATCAACTAGCAAAACATGCAATCATCTAATTAATACATGCTTTTTATAGCACTTCAAATCGCAGTTGTATCAACAGGGGTTAGCGGTGTGTGTGATCAATATTTTCACAAGCCTATATTACATTTCCCCATATTGTCACAGATGAGGTTTGTAAGGAGCTGGTCGGTTGGGCAGCTGTTGAAAACACAGTAGGTAGAGCATGAGGAATATGAGATTAGAGTCCAGTTGGGAAAAGCAGGTGTTTTACCCAGCCCAGAGGAACTATAAAAGAGACAATTACAGCACTCACCTGTCAAAAAAAGCATCTCTACATTTCCCTCTCATCTGCCCACCAGGCATCATTCGCTTCTTTACTGAATTGCCTGGAATAAAGCGCATTTACATCACGCCAATGTTTAAATCGCTGTTAATGACATTATATACCCTTTAACTGAATGTTATCAAAACAATTTTACAGGCGAAGCAATCCAGACAATCCTGTACAATAGAAAGTTAAATTAATGTAGAATTAAACGGCTTAAAAGCATCTTGATTACCATCAGAAAGTTTCAAAGGGCAGCATAACAAGGCCAACATAATCTGCCAGCTGGAACTGAATCTAAACCACTAATCCTAGTCAGTGCAATGCCTTTTTTAAGACGTGTTCTTATTAAGTGACAGTAACTTTACATGCTTGAAGTATAGTTTTTCCTCCCACTGTTTCTTAGAGATTTATACCCCTAACTGTAATGACGCAAGGATAATAAATGAAACCTCCCCCAAAACAGCCCAAAATCTGTATTCTTCATTCTGTAATTCTGTAAATCCTGGCAATTACTAAATATTCAAAAAGATATGGATAGCAAATACTGGAACAAACAAGGAGCCACCATTCATCAGTGGGCATATCTAAATTTTTTATCCCAATCATTCATTGCATACAGGTGGTGCTTATTACAAACCTCACACACACAGAATAAAGGTATCAAAAATACCACAACAGATTAGTGAGCTGGGAAGCGTCTCACCTTTAACAGTCTTGCTGTGTTAGATCCCAAGACAAGTCTTAGTCATGGAGTTTATTTAGAGTAATAAATAGCATTAGAGCTGATAGGATAATAACAACAACAACTGCAGTAAATGCTAGTAGCCCTCAAAGGATAACATGAGGAAGTTCACAAATACTAGTGATTTGATCTAAAGAAAAAAAAATTTACATCAGGCATGAACACCTCCCCCTAAATTTACTAGATCCAAGGTTCAGCTCTACAAATATTCACAAACCTTTCAAAGCTACAGGCACATTAATGAAACACCTTTGCAAGTAACGTTTTGTAAAACAAGATGGTAGGTGAAAAAGGACCAAAGAACTGAAGAATGAAAGGTGGCATCATACAGATGAAGAGTTTATGCCAAATCAGCAAAGAGTTTTTTGCTTGTGCAAACCAGCATACACTTTTTAATTCCTTCCAAAATTATGCAGGTTACACCACCTTTTAACAGAAAAAAAAAGGGACTTCTAAAGGTTTTTCCTATTTTTGTTCATGTGACTAATGTGCATAAGTACCCCCATCTTTTACACAGAGACCTTTAATTTTATTTCTCTGAAATTATTTTCCGTGTTTGCATCTGACCAAACAATGTGTAAAAAAGCTCTCCTAAAATAGAAACATCAGTGCTCTTCTGCTTCGCATGAGCAACAGTGACAGCACGAGTTCAGACACACTATGTGTAAGTGAGGATGGCTCCTAGAGATGAACGTCTTCACTGCAAAACATGCAGTGATGAGATGGCAATGCAGGTTATCTGCCTTTTCTCACACAAAAGTAGTATTAAGCATCTCAATTAAATAACATGCTGTAAAACTGTTTTAACATTATGTTGTGCTATTCTCTTTGAAGATTTAACTAAAAGATCCCAGAAAGTCAGCAGGAAAGAGGCAGAGAACAAGAAATCTTCCAAGGTAGGTGGCTGTTCAGAAAACAATGTCGAATTAGAATGGTTTATTACTTCTATAGTTTTCCTCAGTGCATTCATTTGCAAGGCTTTTACAGCCATTCCCCAATTTAAATAATTTACATACCGTTTGAAGCTCTAAATACTGTAAAAACAGATGCAAAAGATTAATGGTGGAAAGAAAACTCTGTGATCTTAGATTAGTTAGAGGTTATTGTTCGGGTTTGGGAGGTCTTGTTGGTTTTGATTTTGCTTTTGGTTTTTACAGTCCTCTCTTACACAAAAAGTACTTTAGCCTTGAGCTGGTTTAAGTATTTGTAAAATCATTTAGGCATCCACCATAAAGAGGTATCGTTCCCAGTCACATCATGTGGGTTAACTGTACAGGCTCTGCAGCCCAGGGACACAAACTCACTATCTGCTGATTTTTAACTGCAGGTGCCAAAAAATTAAAGTAGAGGCATACAAAGAAGTTGGTATTTTGTTGAAAATGTTAACTAGTAATTTTATCAGATCAGTAGATTCAGATTGATAGGTTTCCTTAATGTGATGTTACCCATAGGTCTCAAATGTGAAGTGTTATTACATGGGCTGGACTCCTATATTTTAAAGACTGTCTAGAAGAGTAGAAAATAGCATTTTTACTTTATTTTTAATATGTCATGATAGCCATTTACAGCCAAACCAGCCATTGCTGCAACCAGAAGCATTTAAAGCTCCTTCTTTTTCTTTCTAATTGATGTCTTGTGTGGTTAACATTCCTTGAAACACTTTCTAAATTCATAGGATGACCCAGGTTGAAAGGGGCCTCAGGACATCATTTAGTTCCACCTTCAGGTCAAAGCAGGACATTCTTGCGATCAAACTTCGTCAAAGTATTTTGGCTTAAAAGCTCCTAAGGCACTTGCATTTAGAGCTCCTTCTTTTTCTTTCTAATTGATGTCTTGTGTGGTTAACATTCCTTGAAACACTTTCTAAATTCATAGGATGACCCAGGTTGAAAGGGGCCTCAGGACATCATTTAGTTCCACCTTCAGGTCAAAGCAGGACATTCTTGCGATCAAACTTCGTCAAAGTATTTTGGCTTAAAAGCTCCTAAGGCACTTAGAGACCACAGAACATTTTACCTTAAAATTGAAACTCCTGAGAAACTACAAAGTTAACAAAAGTGCATAGGGAGCCTGTAGCTGGAGGGCTCCAGAGATCTCTCCCATGTCCCAGGCACATGCTGATCAACCCAAAGCTTTCCACCTTTCCAGACCACAGATGGAGAAGCAGCACTCCTTGGGTAGGCTGAGAGATCTTTTTCAGCTCACTTACCTGTGTCTGCAGTTAAGGATTCCCATGCGCAAATCTGATGCACAAAGGATTACCGAGCTCCAAAGGCAGCTTGACAAAAAAACCATGTCAGGTAGAGCATTGCCGAGTCACCTCCCCTCCCTCTCAGCCTCACAGCTCAGGAAACAAAGTGGGTACAAGCCCCACAGATTGACAGGGAGGTTTCACTCTTTCATTTGAAAAGTTTGGGGCTCCAAGAGTAATTCCTTACTTTGTTTTACTGATAACATCGTTGTCTTTGCAGATTCTTGCATCCCTTTCTTTGCTGCTGCCACATTCTTCCCTACAGAGCATTTTCCAACACTCTATCCAGTCATGTTTCTAATTGCTTAAAATATGCGGCTCATGAGGTTTACCATTTTGCTCCGTAGGTTCGTCTCAAGCCAGCATTTCCCATGATCCAGTCCCACCACATCTCTATATTGCTACTAATATAGGTCTCACTGCTAGCAACTGCCTACTCATCTCAAGCCAGAAGCTCCCACGATTCACTTCTTTGCACCTATGCTTTATTCTGACCCATACTCATTTTACGTTTATATGAAATTTCATGTTTTTTCTTCTAGAAAAATGCTGAACCAAAGACATCTCTGAAACCAAGGCCCACACCAGCTGCTGACTGTGTGCCAAACTTCAAAATCTGCAAACCACACTTGAATTCGTGTTGTAACTACTGTGCTTTGTGCAAATGCAGAATTTTTCAGACCATCTGCCAATGTCTAATGTTAAACCCAAAGTGCTAAGCCAAACTGGGAACACAATAAGGCTTCTGTCTTTCATTAGCTTCTCAAGTGTATATTTCAAACTGCCCCATGTGTATAGCAATCAAAGTGGAGAGCTTTGAAGCTGGCAGCTTGGATTTGCCCCTCTTAATATTAAATGGACAACGGGTTTTTTTCATGGGGTTAATGCTATCATGAACCAGATGTTTTTTCAGGGAGTAGACAACCAGGGAGATTGACATTGAACCGGTATTTTTAGCAAAACTGACCTGCATTTTAAGAAGAATTCTGGGTTCTTGTTGGTTTGGGGTTTTCTTGTTTGTTTGGAGTTTTTTTTGAAGGGTCATATTAACCACAGACTGCAGTATTGTCTAACCGGCACCGCAAAACCTGCACCAATGGCACACAAACGGCCACACTAACACGGGACTGGTTAATCCGGTGAGGACCCAAAGCTTGGATTTGCCCACAAGAACAGCACAGCACCAGCTTCCAGCACAGCCAAAATATCATGCTGAAAATGCAGGTTTCAGGGTTAACTCCCTTTTCATACATTCAGCAAAAACCAGGACGAGAATTTATATAGCTTATTCTACCTGAAAAGACAGACCCAAACCAATAAGGCAATTTTTTAATCACCCCCAGCTGAGCATCAGTACATCCCCTCCAGGGTTTTCAGACATTCTACCAGTAACCAGTATCTCCAAGATGTATAACATACATGTATATTTGAACCCTGAATGTATCTGTGCCTCATGACTTAAAAATGAGAATTTTTTCGCCAGCCATATCCATAGAAAGAGTCCTCAGCCCTTCTACTCCTGCTGCCAAGGACACAGTGCATACAGAGCCCAGAAGCAGGAACACATATCCAGGACTTTGAGGAAGAAAGGAAAGATCAGCAAAAAATGGATGTGTATCCCACATGCACATCTTGAAGAAAGCTATTACAAACAATCAATCTCTCTTTCTTTGCCTGTTCTTACTACGGGCAACTCCCAGCACCTACCCCAAGTGTGAATTTAGGTGGCAATCTCCATGTGCTGCATGCAACCAGTGACCACAGGAAAAAAAAATATCGAATGCTGTATCAATCCTTAAAGTTGTATCAATCCTTAAAGGCTCAGAAACAGCTCGGAAGGTATGGATGAAGCTCAAGGCAGCAGCAAATAGGTGTCCAGAAGACATCTTTCTCTCGTTCCTGAAGCTCGTTGCCTTAATCTTGCATTATCCAAGATGGCACAGGAGGAAACCCCTTCTTGGCTAAACTACCAGGAGAGACGTGTAGGTCACAGGAGAGCAAGGAGGGAGCAGACCCAGACGCTGTCCCCAGCATTGAAGACTCTTCATTTGCCAGACTCTAGCTCTTGCTTTTTACCTCCTCTCTGTTCCTCCACAATGTTCCTCTCCCCCACTCCTGTACACTCTTTTTTCTTCTGTGGGCCTTTCTTGATTTTAGTATATTCCCTTCATTCCACTGCTATTGCCAGTCACTACAGGAGCCTTGTGCACTGCCAGGGCTAAAACTCTATCTTCCGTGTTCACTCCACCTGCCTGCTAGATGTCTGCACCAGTGTCCCTACCAATGCTCTTTAGCTTTCACAGTCAGGTATTTTCTAAGCATGAATTTCTAATCCCAATCCTGAATTTTCTAATGCTCTGTGCAGGTCTAATTGAGAGAAAATTTCTTTACTGATTTATTTCTAAGCACAGCTGAGGGCCACAAAAATCTTCCAGGCAGGCCAAGATGGTACAGATGATATTCTAAAGGGGCTCAAGCCATATGAACTTTTTTTTCTTCTAATAATCAATCCAAAGCCCAGATTTCAAAACATAGGTCAGATTTTGACAAAAATGTTTGTTCATCTGAGAGATATATAGATGACAGAGATTAACCCAAGAAAGAGCCCAAATGATGACAGGATGTCATTGTGTTCCTTATCTTTTATAAAATATATCAGCTGTCATATATGATGCAAGTTTGAATTCTTTTAAATGTACATAAGTATGTCTTTTAATCAGATATCCTGGCTCAGGAATATGTAAGCCATTCAGTTATGATAAAAAGAAGATGAGAAGGAAGAATGATTGTCCTGGTTTCAGCTGGGACAGAGTTAATTTCCTTCCTAGTAGCTGGTACAGTGCTGTGTTTGGGATTTAGCATGAGAATAATGTTGATAACACACCGATGTTTTAGTTGTTGCTAAGCAGTGTTTGTACTAAGACAAGGACTTTCAGCTTCCCATGCTCTACCGACTGAGCAGGCTGGAGGTGCCCAAGAAGCTGGGAGGGGGCACAGCCAGGACAGCTGACCCCAACTGGCCAGAGGGACATTCCATACCATGGGACGTCATGCTCAGTACAGAAACTGGGGGGAGTTGGCTGGGGGGCAGTGACTGCTGCTTGGGGACTGGCTGGGCATCGGTCAGTGGGTGGTGAGCAATTGCATCACTTGGTTGTTTTTTTTCTTTTTTCCCCCTGGGTTTTTGTTTCTCTCTCTTTTTCTCTCTTCTTGTTTTACTTTCCATTACAGTTTATCATTATTATTATTAATTGTCATTATTATTATCATTACTATTATTATTATTATTCTGTTATTTCAAGTATTGAACTGTCTTTATCTCAACCCACGAGTTTTCTCACTTTTACCCTTCCGATTCTCTCCCCCATCCCACCGGGGGGGAGTGAGCGAGCGGCTGCGTGGGGCTCAGTTGCCGACAGGGGTTAAACCACAACAGTCGTTTTGGTGCCCAACGTGGGGCTCGAAGGGTTGAGGTAACGACAGATCTGGCCAGAGCGTGTTAAAATAGAATTGTTACAAGCATTTGATAGTCGCTGGTCACAATGTTCTTTTATTTGTTTGCATGGTTGTGTTATGGAAATCCTTGCTTGCAGTAGGTATTCCCTGCCGTGCTGTTTATCACTTCTGGGAGGCGGGTCAGGATTATCACTTTGCTGCACTGTGTAACATCCGCTTACGATGCGATAATATTGCTGGTAAATGGACTAATTCGCTGTTTGGATTAGGTATTGCTGTCCTCTCCGTACCTCGGGCGCCATCTTTTGGAAATTATTAATAATGACACCCTTCACCTTTTCTCGCAGAACGAATCCACCGGTGAGACCGCGGGGGATGCTTTCCCCCGTTCTTTCACCCTCCCTCTCTCCTTCAGGCGAGTTACACCAGTTCTCGAGAATTTTGAATATCCTTGGGACGTCCAAGCCAGCGTGCTCCTATTGCTCCGTCTCCTGAATGTGATTCAGGTCTTGTTTAAGGTTAAACAACTATTTAAAAAAATCACCCAGAGACCTGCCCCGAGGCTGGATAGTTCTGAGTGGCAGGGTGTGTGGGATGGGATGGGGGAAATAACTAGGACAGTGGGC